GCAGGACAGTGGGGTGGGAGGAGGTATTGTTTCATATTCTCTGTATGTATATAAAGTCTGCTGCAGTTTCCACGGTAAACATCTGATGAAGTGAGCTGTAGCTCACGAAAGCTCATGCTCAAATAAATTGGTTAGTCTCTAAGGTGCCACAAGTACTCCTTTTCTTGTAGCTGAAAAATCCTTACTCAAACTCTCTCCTCCCCAGTCATTACAGTCCTCTAAACCAGGGCTTCTCACCCTTTTTCTTTCTGAGGCCCCCTGACATGCTATAAAAACTGCATGGCCCACAGCAACTGTTTTTTTGCATATCCAGAAGCGTTAAAGCAGTGTTAAATTGATAGTTAAACACTTAAACACACAAACATATATAATGTAAAGTAGAAAAGGATAATATAGGTACAAAAATAAATATTATGTTCAAATATTAATATGCCTGAGCTCTGCCGCCCAGGGCTGAAGCCAAAACCTGCGCCCTCCCTTGCAGGACTCCCTGTCGCATGGGGCCCCAGGCAGTTGCCCTGTTTGCTGTCTCCTAAGGCCAGCGCTGCTGAAGCCAATAGCTTTCAGCATATCATGCAGGAAAATTAACATGCTCTCTGCTCTATTTTTTAAAAAATAATTTTAAAAAAATTGTCCAAATAGCATGAGGTGAAATGACTTTTTTTTTTTTGGGGGGGGGGGGTATGGTCTCTAGCTTATTTTGGCAGACCCACTGAAATATGGGGTGGGGAGGGGTGTAGAACAACACCTCTAAATAGAGCAGTAACAGACCATTCTGCTTGAGGCTCCCACCTGTAACACCGACAGACCCCGGTTGTCGGCAGGCAGGATCAAACCAGGGATCTCTGGAGCTTAGTGCATGAGCCAAAAGCCAGCTGGCTATTAGCTAAGGCTGTAGAGTAGACTCATTTTTGTGTCTCTTTAAGTGGTCTCAGTGCCACTAGATGGGCCAGAACACCAGACCCAGAAGGCATATGGGTTACATACCTGCTTGTAAGGCATCATTTCAGTAGGCCCATTCCCCTCCCCTGTCACTGGCAGATCAGTTTTGCCCATCCCTTTTCTTCCTCCCCACCACAATTCTCTTTGCTTTATTTCTACTCAGTCACATCTGGCCACCCTTTTCTCTGGCAATTCAGTAACTGCTGTGTCCTCAGGCTGTTCAGCCTCATAGACTTTAAGGTCAGAAAGAAACATCATGATCATTAGTCTGACCTCTTCCACATTGCAGGCCACAGAACCTCACCCACCCCTGAAATAGACCCTGAACCTCTGGCTGAGTTACTGAAGTCCTCAAATCATGGTTTAAAGATTAAAGTTACAGAGAATTCACCATTTACACTAGTTTAAACTTGCAAGTGACTCATGCCCATGCTGCAGAGGAAGCCCCCCACCCCATCACCACCACCACCCAAAAAAACAAAAAACACCAATGCAGGATCTCTGCCAATTTGACTCAGCCTGCCTCCAGCCTCTGCAGTTCTGCTTGTTAAAAGGCAAGAAACCTGACACTTGCCCAGATACAACTTTTCCCAGGCTTCTTGGCATTAGGACTTTTCCCATCCTGCCTCTGGCTGTAAATAGCAAGGGTGTTTGTTTCAGGACTGAGATGATTTGGCGCAGTAACACATGGAAGCTTGTCCAACACCTACCAGCTCAGTCCCTCACTTTTATAAAATCTAATTTTCAAATATTTAAAGGAAGTGTTTTAAGGAACCTCATTACACAGTGAAAAATTAACTCTCTTGTCAGACATCATGCCCCTTTCTTAGAAAGCAGCTTGTTGATGAAAACGCTCTCTATGTAACAGTGGTAGGTTTTTTTAAGCATGTACATACTCCACATACTAAAAGGGTACCAACGTGGCATTTGTTGGACTATGGGCAGTTACTCAAGAGCTGTATATCATCCTAACTTTGGTAATTAATACAGTTATAAATTTTGTTTTTTATTGTTTAAAGATCCCTGCATAAAGATTGAACTTTCTTCTAAACCTTTGGGAGGGTACCACAGCTGGCCTGACCATGAGGCGAACTGAGGCGGCCTCCTCAGGTGCCAGACTGTGTGTGTGTTGTGGGGGGACGCCACTAGGACCCAGAGTGTAGAAAATTGTGTCTGCTGCTGGTGCATATGTATTCTCTCTGCTCTAGATGCACAGAGATGGTGGAGTGCTGTGCTGAAGGAAGGAGAGCACAAGAGACATAACAGGCAGGCAGGAGAAAAGGTGAGAGGGAATAGCAGAAAGCAGCAGGAGCTGCAGGGACAGAGAGGAGGAGGAGGAGGAGCCTCTTATGTACCTCTCTAGAACCCCCAGGAGCCTGGACTGATTAACACCAGCTTCTCAGGGAGCTTCCTGTTTCCTGCTGCTTCCCTGAACCCCCTTGAGGAGAGCAGGCAGTCAGCTGAAGTAGTAGGAGCCAGTTATGCCTTTAAGACTCTGATATCTTCCCTCACTCAGTCCCTGCTATCAGCCTGCTTATTTGTCCCCTTCAATCAAGTGTTGAGAGCCACTAAGCTGGCACAGAACAGCAGTCATGAGTGAAAGAAGAAAACGCCCCTCTGGGGCAGCATTCAGAAAAAGGAAGCAAGCAAAGGAAGCTTTTCTATCTAAGCAGGAAGGAGCTCTCCTGAGATACATAGACACAAATGTTCACGGTGAGCCTTCCAGCCCCAGTGAGGATGTGAGTGGTGAGGAGATGCCTGATCTTCCAGTTAGTCAGAGTGCAGGTGACCAGGAAGCTACTGCAGCATCCATATCTCCATCTTAAATTGATGTAACCCATGAACATGCCTGAAGAAAAGTGTAGATCAGAGAAGAGTGTGGTGGAGGCTCAAGAAACAGCTGCTGCTGAGTTTCCTTCCCCCTGAGGCCCTGCCCCCAGCTAGGCTGGAAGTTGCCCTGCTGTGGTGGGTAGGGTGCCCAAACTCCTCCCTGCCCCCCCCTGTATGGAGCCCTCCTGAGCTCCTCTTTCCACAGGCAAATGGTGACTCACCGCACAGCTCTGCTCTAGTGAGTGACTCTCAAACCCACCTCACGGGACCCTGTACTCACTCATCGTCTCAGTGGCATGAATGCCTCAAACTCCCCAGGAGCTGGGAGTCATGCCAAGGTCTTCCCAACCTTGTAGCATCACCAGCAAGAATGATTCAGCAGGCCACAGCCTTTTCTCTGTGCAGTCCCCACCCCAACTGTCCTGTGACCTTCAGGTCACACCCTCAGGTGACCCATGTGCAGCCACATTCTCCTCCCCCTCATCACCTTTGGGTCCTGCCCCCAGGTGAGCCCTCCACAGCCCTAAATCTTGCCTTCATTAGATTGCCCATGTGTAACCAAGAGCACTTGGTCCACCTAACCATCCCTGCTGGTGATGTGTGAGCCAGACTAGCCTCTGGTTGCCTCTCCCATCACTGGGCTGAGTCTGTGGGGCTAACCGGAGGTTTTGTTTCCCTGAGAGCTGGCAGCTCTGACTGTTACCTCCAAGGGGCATTCTGTGCAGCATATAGGGGCTGTTATGCCAGAGGTACTTCTTGCTGTTAACCGCAACTGGTAGCGGAGTTGACTGCTGTCCCCTCCTGTCTGTGATGCCAGGCTTTTGGGAGCCATGGCTCTGGTAGCCCCATAACCCCTGTCAGCAGCTCTACATAGAGGTTCCTTTTAGTGTGAGGAGACCCTTGGGTTTCAGCATTTCCAGACTGAGTGTTTTTTGTAAGGTTGGGTGATTGGCTCCTGCATGGGGGAGATGTCTAGCTTGCTATCTTAAGGTTTTGTCCTTCTGTCCATCGCCGTGGTATCTGAGCACCTTCCACATAAGATCAATAGCAATAAGGAAGTCCCTAGTGCCAGGCAGTCTAAGTAGGGAGTTAGATAACGGGAAGGCCTCATGGGTGGGGAGATCAGAATAGGCATTCCATAACTGATCAGTGGACTCCCTATACTTCATGAACCCATCCTGGCCTCCTGCACAGCAGCAAAGAAACAGGGAGTACACACCCCAAGGGACTGGCCCACGGTTTGAGGAGGCTGAAGAGATGGGAACTAATGATGTTGGGGGAAAGGGCCCTGATGAGGAGAGTCTGTACAGAAGGGGAAAATAAAGAAAATGCTCTTAAAAATAATGGGCAGCAAGTCCAGAGTCACTTGTTCCTGGGGTGGGGCCTTGAGAGAGTCTAGGGGATCTGGTTTGATAGGGAACTCTAACAATGCTAGGTTGTCAGGCTCGGTAACTGCAGAGTCCCTCATCACTACCCTCCTAGCAACCATAATGTTCACTTGTTATGTTGGCTTTTAAGAATGATTGGAGCTCTTTGGAGTAGGGACCATCCTTTATTCTGTGTTTGTGATGTCTGTGTATTCTCGTGAAATGGAGCTCTGAACCACAGGGTTAACCCCCTCCAGAGCCAGAGAAGGAGAGATGCTGAGATTGTGGATCCCTTAAGAGCTGCCCAGGGAGCCCCACATCCTCAACCTGCCCTGGGTGGGGGGGCCCAAAAGCAGCCCCCAGCCCATGTCTCTGCCCCCCCAGAGCATGCCACCCAAGGCAGGTTGAAGATCCAGGGCTCCCCCCAGCAGCCTTAGGCTCTCTCAGCAGCTCTTACCATGGCCTGGCTCCAGCTTCTGGCCAGGCCAGTGGGCAGGACCTTGGGTAGGAAGGGGAGGAGCCCCATGGCAGCAGGTGTACGGGGCCCAAATGTTCTTTGTGCCCAGGGCCCCAATAAATCTTAATCCACCTCTGGTAATTTGCTAAATTTTGTTTCTGCTGATAGAGAAGATAAAGAATGTGACATCTTCAAGAGTACCATCAAACGGAGCCATCTGTACCAAGTTAGTCTTTGATAAGTATAGCTGTTTGTATTATAAATGCCACATCATTCTTAGTGCTTATATAGTTTTATTGAGATGGCTGGGTAGTGTGGCTATAGACATTTAAATCTTTAATAAATTACACCTAAAATATAAGGACCAATTACTGATGACATCTGGTTACATTTTTTTCCCCCAGATTCCAGTATGACATCAGGAGCTGCTTCCCCCACATTTTGCACAGGAGGAGAAAGAAAAGCAAAAGGGAGAAGATAATGATGTGGTAGGACAGCTATCTGCCATGAAAGTATTTGCCATGTGTTGTTAAAAGAAACATTTAAAAGGAATACCACATTTTTATTTGACAAAGTACAATTAAAATTTGTTTAAATAAAATGTTTTAATATATTGTACTTTTATCCAGGGATCTCAAAATGCTTGTTATACAATTAACTAAGCCTACAACACCCTGTAAGGTTGTGGTGTTCTACCCTTTTTACAAAAAAGTTTTGGTGCTTGACATTATTAAGGCCATTTTGACAAAGGTCCACTAATTTGGGGTTGCTCAGTTCCTGAGTGCCAAACTTGAGACATCTCGGACCTGATTTTTAAAGTAAAGAACATATGCAAGGGAAAGATGAAAACTCTGTAAACAATATGGAGAGTTTCCTGCATTACTTTGTTGAAAGGAAAAGACACAGAAATGAGGAGGGAAGAGGGAAACTCAGAGAATTTATAGGAGTGAAGTTAGATGAAAACTGATCTCATACTTGAGTTCATGCTCCCAGCCGCAAATGATTATATGTAGGGACAGTGGGTCCAGTGTAAGCCAAAGATGGCTTCAGAATTCACAGGTAAAAATATGAATCTTCACCTTTTTTACACACAAACCACTATTTCATCAAATGAGGTAGAAAAGCAAAATAAAGATACAGAATGATCTGAAGTAAGAGTGAGCATTTTAGTGCAAATAGTTGCAGATTTTTTTTCTCAATTTTTGCAGAGCTCTGGTAATATGTTACATTCCATGAGGATGCTGTGATTTGCACAACTTTCAATTGCTACATAAATCAAACAGCCCAAAAAACAGTAGTGGGATCGATTTAATTTAGAATGTTAAGTAGCTGGCACATGATAATAATTGTGAGCATGTGCGTCATTAAGACTTAATCATTGCTCTTGGTACAACAAAAAAAGGACACATTAGAAGTCATGTATCAGAGGGGTAGCCGTGTTAGTCTGGATCTGTAAAGGTGGCAGAGACCTGTGGCACCTTATAGACTAACAGACGTATTGGAGCATAAGCTTTCGTGGGTGAATACCCACTTCGTCGGATGCACTGACGAAAGCTTATGCTCCAATACATCTGTTAGTCTATAAGGTGCCACAGGACTCTTTGCCATTAAAAGTCATGTTTCAAATAGTTGTTAATAAATGAACTACTCCAACCTAGTCTCCTAAAATGTACCACTATCCTTGGAGTTATCTTGCCAGCTTTGAAGATCATGCAGTATTGTGCTGTAATCCCAGAAATACTACATTGTGTGTAACTTCTGCACATTAATGCACGTCTCCAACAGAGAACTAACTAGGATATGAGTTTCAACACAAGTCCTGTTGCATGTAATTGATTTCCTTTTCAAACCTGTGAAGGTTTAGTTCTTTCTAGGAGATGTAATTATTAACAAGTTTCAGCTGGGTCACTTTATTGAAGGATGAAAACCTATTGGAATGCCAAAAGAGTTATAACTGTATGGTTCTATAATTCAAAGTAGTTTGCAGAATATGGTAAGACTAACAGATCCTAAGATTAATCAGAAATGACAGATGATTGAAAGATTAGTACTGTAGTCTCTGTATCAGCCAGCAGTCAAAGGACTCTAAAATTTCTTAGATCATATATTCTTAGATCATGACGTGTATTACCTGGTCATCATGGTTTTAATCTTCTGTGGAAAAAAAAATATGGCATGATATGCTAATTCCTAGTCAGCATGACAAAACCCACCTATAATTTTAGTACAATTGTCAGTATCTGGTCAAGAGAGGCCCAGGTCAGGAATGGGAGAGGCTTTGTGTATTATGAGTGAGGTGCAGTACTGCAAAACTTGCACATCACTTGTCCACACTTTCATGAGGACCAAAAATAAATAAATCACCAAGCCACATATCAATGAAAAGGTCAAGGTCCTGGAAAAGTGAGCTGAGACTGTTCTGCCATGTGATAGACAGGAACTCTGAGCTACATAGAACTCTTCTTCAGTCTGGGAAAGATACTCAGGGTGTCACAGCTAAATAAAAGATTGAACAGATAGTTTAGCATAAGTAATTAGTACATATTTTAAGGCAGTAGCTCTCAACCTTTCCAGACTTCGGTACCCCTTTCAGGAGTCTGATTTGTCTTGGGTAACTGCTAAGTTTCACCTCACTTAAAAACTACTTGCTTACAAAATTCGTGTGCTGTGACACTTTTGTATTTTTATGTCCATTACTGAAAAATTGCTTACTTTCTCATTTTTGCCATATAATTACACAATAAATCAATTGGAATATGAATATTGTACTCACAGTTCAGCATATAGCAGGGATGGCCAAACTTACTGACCCTCCGTATACGATAATCTTCAGAAGTTCGAGAGCGGGGGCACACCTGCCAAGGCTCAGGGCTTTAGGTCTGTGGGAGGCGCCTGCCAGGGCTCGGGGCTTCACAGAACTGAAACTGCTTTAGTGGCACTGATGGATGATCATTTGTCAATGGATGAAGGACAGATATCCATTCTCATCCTCCTGGACCCCTCTGAAGTGTCTGACAGGTAAGCATGAGATACTGCAGTCTTGCCTAAGAGAGGTGTCAGGAGTCCAGGGTAATGTGATAAAAAGGTTTAAGTTCTTCCTGGAGAACTGCACCCAGAGAGTAGTAATGGGAAATCGCACCTACACCACCAGACCCTTGTCTAGTCTATCTTCATGCAAACTCTATATAAACTGCTCAGATGACATGGAATGAAGTGCCAGCAATATGCAGCTCTACCTGTCCTTCCTCACATACTATCAAGATTGCCCAGTGCTTGGATGATATCTACTGATGGATGAAGAACAGCTGGCTGAAGTGGAACTCAAACAAAACAGGTGATGCTGGTGGATAGAGGAAAATATTCTGAGGGGTTTGCAGCCATGGTGCAGTCTCCTTTGAATGAAGATTCACACACTCAATCAATTCATTGCATAGTCTTGAATTCTTCATTGTTGCTAATGAGTAATGCTTTTTTACCACTTCTGGTGGGCTAGGGGACTCCATCCCACCCTAGTAGATGAAGACCTGGCCTCAGGTATTTATGCCTGTGGCAGGGTGGACTAGGTCCAGAGGCTCCTTACTGGAGGCCTTGTGGCCCTGCATCACCCTGCCCCAGAATAGAGCAGAGAGAAGTCCTCTAGACAGCCTAGAGTGGCTGCAGAGGAGTGATCAATAAGGGGCCAGAAGGGCCAGATAAAAGGACAGCAGCAGAGCAGCACCTTCAGTTGCCGTGTGGAGCTTGATGAGGGAGGCCTGGGTGCCTGGCTGGCTAGAGGAGCAGCAGGTCACAGACGGCTCACTGTAGAGAGCTCGCCAGGCAGAACTGAGCCCAGGGAAGGGTGCCAAAGACCAGGTGCCTGGCTGGCTGGATAGAGTAGCAGCAGGACCATGAAAAGGTCAGTGTGGGCAGGCTGAGCCCAGGACCTGGCCAGATCAGGCGAGGGTACTGAGATCAGCCCTGATGGTCTGGTTGCAGACTGAGCCTAGGGAGGGCTGCTGAAAAGGATGCCAGATAAGGGTACTGAGATGGCCCTGGCTGCGTAGTTGAAGAAGGCAGTGCCTTGGGGAAGAAGCCTTAGAGCTACAGCCCCATACCAGGGCTGAGAAAGAACTTGGACTTGAAGGGAGAACTGTGTATGCGGCTCGGCCAGAGGGCTGAGTTGCTGAAGACCCGCCAAGAGAACCATCAGCTTGGGGTGTGCTTGCGAGAGGTAGATGCAACCCTGATATAAGAACTAACACCAAAAGCAGGCTTACGCCTAACTGAGAGAAAGGGGGCCATCCACAACAGGTGGGTGTCCTCCTCCTGAAAAAGAACTGTGATGACAGGTATACTGACCAGAGAAAAGGGGGTACGCATGAGAGGCGGGTGCTACCCCATTACAATGCTTTCATCTCCTCTCAGCTGCACTACAGCAATGTGATATACCTGAGCATGCTTCAGTGCTCAGGAAACACAAACTAGCACAGAATGCTGCAGCGTATCTTCTCAGTAACAGGCTACCATGAGCACATCACACCTGTCCTCCCCTCTTAGCATTGGGTTCCCATAGAATTTTGAATCAAATTGAAGGCCTCGGTCCTTATCTTCAAACTACTCCATAGCATGGACCCAGGCTTTCTAAAAGACTGTCTAAAGCTCCAGGACAAAGACAGTGGTTGACCACTTTGCTGCTCTGGCATAATAGAACTCTCAACGAGAAGGGTAAAGCTTGTCCATGCAGGAGATGGAACCATCTCCAGGGGTGGTCCAAGACTGGAATAAACTCCCTTAGGAACTAAGGACCATCACAAACCTCACCACTTTCCGCTCCAAGCAGAAGGCACATTTCTTTGACCTCCTCTTCTTGAATGTAAATACATAGCAACAGGTTTATTTATTAATAATAAAAACAAAACCTACCCAAACAAGACACTCCACTGCAGACACTTCTCTCTTAGGGGAGAGGATGAGAGAACAAACAACACGGGACAGCTGTGTAGTTGTAGAACTGACAGACCCCAGTCATCGGCGAGATTGAAACTGGGATCTCTGGAGCTTAGTCCATGAGCCTCTACTGCATGAGCTAAAAGCCATATGGCTGTTAACTAAAGCTTTAGAGCAAACTCATTACTTTTTTTTTTTGTCTCTGTGCCACTAGATAGGACAGAACACCACACCCAGGAAGTGTGTGGGCTACAAAGTGACATTGTTTAATACACTACTGGAAGGCACTCCTATATGATGGTGCTAAAACCCTGTATAGAATAGATTTTTTGACCTTGAGTAAAGCTGATTCTCTCCAGACTTTGCATACTACTTTGGTAAACTTGCAGAGCTTTTAAGCTATCTAAATCTGATTGGTTTGTCTGATAGAGCTTAAAAATGAACACTGTAAGTGCTATAGACAGTTCTTGCTCACTTTGGTCTGGTGTGTTTGTGACCCATTTGGGGAAAAATCAGTCAGCCACACCCAACTCCTGTTTTAGCCTTCTACTCAGGCTCTCTT